GCAGCCACCTTGTAGGGAAACCTCCCTGCACCTGCGCAGCCACCTTGTGGGGGACCCAAAGGTCCAAAGCCAGAGGTGGCAGAAGAGGGACTCTCGCCAAGAGTTCTGGAGGAACCGTCCAAATGCCAGAGCCATCGGGGACCCCACCAAAGATGACCCCGGAGTACAGTCCAAGTGGGTGGCACTGGACAGCAGACCGCAGACGCAGGGAGGAGCGCAGGCCCGGGTGCGGAGCGCGCTTCCGCGCAGACGCCGCCTCGAGAGCTCTTCTATTCACGGGCTGCTGGCTCTCCACGTGACAGCCATGCGAGCCCAGGAAAGTTGTCAGCAGGTCGGCATCTAAGCAGCCCTGTGGCTGGCTTTGTCTTCTCTAAACTCTGCACCGTGAGCAGCTGTGTAGAGTGGTGCCCTGCCAGGATTGACTGATTGATTGATTTTTTCTATTTAGCACAGGGTCCACAGGGTCCACAGGGTCCACAGGGTCCACAGGATCCACAGGGTCTACAGGGTCTCACTACACAGATCAGACTCGGAGTGATTCTCCCGTTTTCAGCCTCCCAAGTGCTGGGGTTATAGGCACCCACCACCACGCCAAGTCTCAATCGCTATCTCAGCGTGCTCCCGGGGTGGGGCCGGCACGGCACACCGGGGATCGAACCCCAGTCTCTGCACTCTGCTTAAGCAGGCGCTTTAGTCCGCTGAGCTATCTGGCCTGCCCTCTACCAGGATTCAGAATCAGAAGGTCTACAGTGTAAGCCTGCCAGACAGACTGAAAATTGGGAAGCTGCGCTTTCTTTGTATTTCTTTTCGTACCAGGTGGGGTCAGGATTAGTTTTTACTCATTGTTAATGAGACCCCGTTACTCCTGCTCATGGGATAGCTTTCAACAATTCTGGTGCAAGCTGGGTGTGGTAGTGCTCATCTGTAATCCTGGCCCTCAGGAGGCTGAGGCAGGAGGGTCACTTCGAGTTCAAGGCCAGTCCGGGCTACCTAGCAAGACCCTGTCTCAAACAAACAAAAATTCTGGGTCATTGGTGAAAAACAAAACAGTCATTCTATCTTATCTCTGCCATAAATAATCTCTTTAGAAAGAGAAAGCTATACAGAAAATCAACAGTTGTCATAAAATATTCCATCTCCTTTCTAAATATTCCTCTGGGATAAAAGAGGTCTGTTGCAAATCACAGCCTGTCTCGAGACCTGATTCAGCATTGAGGGTCTGCCTCCTGGCACACGGCTGCATGTGTGTCGTGCATGGAGATGTGTGGGTGTATACGAGTGTACAAGCATGCACGTGTGTGTGCGAGACACGGAGTACCGCTTCGAGGACCTCTGCACATGAGGCTCCTCTTTGGCCTGCCCCTGCGGAACCTGGAGCGGAGCTACCCAGCACAGGTGGGGCCCTGCTTTTCACACGAGGCCGCCTGGCAAAGCCACGGACGTGTACCAAAGGCACGAACTTACTCACACCTAGATCCTCGCAGAAGAGAAAATATTCGCAGCAGATCTTTGTGGGAGAAATTCTGGGCGTAGTTCCTCTTTCCCAGGCCTGTCTGGATTCCGAGCACTTGCTCCAAACTCCAACGTGTGCAGGAATTCAAAGCAGGGAAGTCTTTATACTTTGCTGCGCATTTCTGGCTGTGGAGACGCGTTTTGTGAGAGGCCTGAGTCCATCCTGAAGTGTTCTGGTCTCTCCGTGCTCTTCGCTGTAGGCACTGTGGTCGCGCACTGCCTGCCCCCGGCCACTTCCTACAACGTGTCCTTCCTCTCTCGGGTCCACACGGGCTGCAGCCCGTCCCGGCCCAGCGTGACTGTTCAGTACCAGAAGCAGCAAACGCGTCTGCTCCCTCTCCAGGCTTAGCAACTCTGTTCTGAATCAGGAGTGGTGCGCCCCAGGCAGCTCCACTCACCTGCAGGGGGCGCTGGGCCTTTCCTGGAAGCCCCAGGCGCTGGGGTCCTTAGGTGGGATGTGGAGGCACCCCAGGCCTAGCGTGGTCCCCATCCTGCTGGCCTCAAGCTCTGCCCTTCTAGCCCCTGGGCTCTTCCCGTGGCCCTTGACCAGGCGGGGTGGGGAGCAGGGCAGACCCAGCCCCTGCACAGAGCCAAACACACAAATGGAACCGTGTGTGCCACAGACACTGACGTCACCTTTGTGGCTGTCACCAAGGAAACCACACCCCTGGAGTTCATGTGGCACTTTGGAGATGGACCCCCAGTGAAGACGACCTCCAGAAGCACCGGAGGCAGCTTGTTGTCCCCCAGCGGTCAGTGACCTTGGGCATCGTGTCACAGGGGCCCAAGTGGTGCTGCTGCTAAACTTTACACAGGTGGTGTGAGGGTCACCCCCTGCCACCAGTGTAAAGTTCAGGGCATCCTGTCTACTGTGTTAACAAACCACCAAGTACTTCTGCGAATTGAGCTCAAGTGGGAGAATTAAAGGTAGAGGCGTGAGGTGCGGTACTGCTGAACTGTAATCCCAGCAGCTGAGGAAGATGAGCCGGGGCGATAGCAGTTTCAAAATTTTTGAGCTTTGGTTTGTTGGGTTTTTGAGACAGAGTCTTGCTACGTTGACCAGGCTGACCTGGAACTCATGGTGATCCTCCTGCCTCTGCTTCCCAAGTGCTGGGATTGCAGGCCTGCACCACTGAGCCCACTGGTCGAAAGTTTTAAGCCTGCGCAATTTAGAATCAAAAGATTTTGAGGAAGAGGGCCTCGCTTCTACTCATGGTGCTCTGAGATCAAGGGTTTGGGCTCGGACCGGACCACCCCAGGTCCCTGTCCCGACACCACCGGGTGACTGAGGGTGCATCCTCCCCCAACACCCTGCTTGGAGAAGGAACTGAGGGACACGGGAGAGGCCAAGGGCTGCTGTCCCTGTCCCCATGAGGCACCCATCCCTGGCAGGGCCACACGTCCTGGTGCCAGCTCAGCCACCCTCTGCTGGCACAGGCGGGGCTCTCTGGGGCTGAGCTCTGTGTCCGTCTTCCTCATCAGGTATTGGGTGACAGTCACCGCTGCCAGCCCAATGGGCCACGCGGTCTCAAGGTAGAGCAGCAGGTCAAAGCCATCCGGCTTGTGTCCACTCCCACAGTGCTGGTGAACGCCAGCATGGCCTTCAAGTGCAGAATCAACTTCGGCTTGGACTTTGCTTTCCAGTGGGACTCTGGGGATGGCGCTGTCAGCCTGGGCAGTAGATCTGCAAGCCATGTTTACAGCAGGTGCAGCTGCGGACGGGGGTGTCGTGGGTGGGTGTGTCTCGGCTCACTTCAGCTCAGGTGCTAGACATGGACGTGACTGCCGGGCTGTGGCTAGGGGGACCTCATGGCGGGGAGAGGCCAAGAGGGAGAGGGGTGCCCAGCACCCTTGGAGGCTTCCTGCTGCAGCTTGTTTACTCAGAAGGCAGAGACCATGTGGGGCATTTGCACCAGAGGTAGGGGACAAAAGTCACAGGAGAGTAAGGTCACAGCCAGGGAGGTCGCAGAGACCGTGGCCCAGGGCAGCAGTCTTGAGGCCTTGGGTCACAGAGGCCGGCAGAGAAGCTGAAGTACTGTGACAGGTCACACGGGCTCAGGTCACAACGAACACAGACCTTTGATTTGGCTTTTCAAAGCATACAGAGATGCGGTCGTGTGTCCCTCCGTGACCAGGGCGCACTGTGTGCGGTCACTTGGTGTGGGCCCTAGATGCAGTCGGGATGGCCAAGGCAGATGCTAGGGCTGCAGCGGGAGAACGAAGCGGGGTAGGGTCAGCGGGAGCTTTGCCTTTTGCCAGCCGTCAGAGCAGATGCCGGAGGATGGTGGACGTGTAACACCAGGCACAGAGACAGCGTTGCTGGTTAGGACCAGCAGGTGTTCTGTTCTGTACGTGACTCTGCACAAGCTCTGGCTTTATACAGCGGGAGAGACGGGGCTGGGTGTATGCTGGCCTGCATCAACAGCTACATGGGGCCCTCCAGTGTCACTAGACACAGGCCTGGCTCGGCTCCATTATAATCCTATGGGACCAAAGAGCCATCATGCAGTGGCCAGAATATGAGAAAGAGGCTGGCTGCCTCTGTCCAAAACGACGGTGGCCATTCCTGGAGGGATGGTCTGGCCCATGGGAAGCCATGGACTTGCACGGTTCAAGGTCAGGTGCAAGGTCCCGTGCGGATGAGGGGAGTCGTGGTGTCCAGGTCTGGTGGCCTTGAGGGCCTCCCTCTTGCGCTCACAGGGAGGGCGAGTTCACAGCGTGAGTCCTGGCCTTCAACAACGTCAGCTCGGCCGCCCTGAGCACGCAGCTCTTCATTCTGCGCCAGCCCTGTGAGCCTCTCCTGGTGAAGAACATGGGGCCCACCAAAGATCCAGGTAGGGCTGGGATGCATTAGGATAGGCGGGGCCTTTGGGGATGGGGGCGCAGACAGGCACAGAGGAGACCTGCTCCGTCCCCGCGGGGAGCAGAGGTCCTCCCTGTGCGGGGCTGGGGCCTGGGGGGAGGGGGGCACAGAACAAGGTGGTTCTCTGCTGGGTGGCTCATGCCTTCTGCACCATTCGCCATTTGCTGCAAGGAACTGTCGATCTTGTTTCTAGTCTTTCTTTTATTTCTTCTTTCCTGAGTCTTTTTTTTTTTTTTTTTCTTTCATGGCCTGAGAACTGCGGCAGTTTTGCAAGAGAAAGAAAAATAGCACCAAAACTACAACATGGCTGTTAAGTGCTGGGCTGTCGTTCCCTCTGCTCAAAACAAAGTTGTTTCTTAACTATACCTGTCTGCTCTGCCTGTGTAGCAGCCAGGGACGCTTGGTCTCATACATGTTGAGACAAAAGGGGTCCAGGGAGATGGCTCAGTGGAATAAGCGCTTCCCTGGCAAGCGCAAGGGTCTGAGTTCAATTCCCCGGTTCCACCCCCCACCCAAAAAAAAAGAAACCATCAGTTGTTGAGTGCCAACAACTAGTTAGAAAACAGCTGGTTAGGGCTGGTGAGATGGCTCAGTGGTCTAAAGCACCTAGTTAGAACAAGCTTAGCTAAAGCAAAGGGACCGCGGTTCAATCCCCCAGCACCACATGCCAGCCAGCCCCGCCCCCTGGTGGGCTGAGCTGGCCACACACACACACACACATAAAATAAAAAAAAATAAAAAATAAAAAAAAATAAAAAAAGAAAACAGCTGGTTAGGTTAGAAAAAAGGAGGAAAGGGGTTTGGTTTTGTTTTTTCAAGTCCTTTGGATGGAAAGCACTGTTTCTCAGGACACAGGTGCTCGGTGGCCCGCAGGAGCCCAGCCCGGGCCTGGACACAAGGCCCGGCTGTCTGGGAGCCGAAGGCGGGGGCACGTGTGTGGCCGGAGGGGCGACCTCCCCGTGAGGGCTGGAGGGGTAGGACCCGGCCACAGGACGCAGGGCCCGGGAGGCCTGGCCGGGTTACTGGGCCGCCGCCTGCTGTCTCACTCTGCCCTTTGATTTATGGCAACTGGATTTCCCACAGGGAGAAAGCGTGCCGTACTTAAGCGACGGCGTCTGATTTTCCCCCAACGTGCCGGTTTCAAGGTGCATCCATTTTACTCTTTTTTTAAATCTTCAACTGATACATAAAAGCAGAAAATTTGCATATCCACAAACTTGGCTTTTTAATCTCTGCATTTTTATTTGGGTGTTTGCGTTTATGAAACCACGAGAACAATGTGGATAACCCCGCTGTTTCTTTATATTTTCTCTTTTATATTTCCTAAATTTATAAAGAAAAGGTGGTTGGATGCGCTCGTTGCACACATTTTCTCTAAGGCCTTTCATATGTGGGACATGTGTGTGCGTGCACCTGGGCGAACGTGTGCTTATGAAACTGGGGTTGCTGGCTTATAGTGTGACCACTTACTCTTACTGTTTTAAATTTCATTTATTTATTTGTTTCATGGCGCCAAGCATGGAATTCAGGGCCTCTGCTCTCAGCTACATCCCCAGCACTTCTTATTTTTAACTGTGACTCTCTGAGAGTCTCTCTAAGTCACTCAGTTGCCCAGACTGGGCTTGAACTCGCGATCCTCCTGCCTCAGCCTGCCGAGTGCTGGGGTGACTGGGCCGCATGACGGGCAGGCGGGCAGCGCAAGCCCTGGCGCAGCAGCGACCTCTTTAGGCTGTGTCACCGTGTGCTTTCACAGTTCCATGAGCTAGGATTCACATCAAGTTTTTGTTGAGAAAATTCTTAAGTGTCAATAAAATAGAATAAACTCATCACTGACAAATTCTAGCAGCTTGTCTCCTGTGGCCCCCACGCCCAAAGGGGCCACTTAGAGCATCTAAAAGAACACCATCTGGTGGGGTGTACTGGTGCACATGTGGAATCCTATCAGAACCTGCTCGGGTCCCTATCATGCTCCTGGGCTGGAGCCACCAACTGCGTGGCTCTGTAGCCACCTCCCTTGCTCTAGGTGTCACTGAGCCGACTGTGACCATACAGCCGCACTCCCTGAGCAGCGGAGAGACCTATGTCCTGCAGGCAACCGTGGGTGAGTCTCCGGAGGTCGGGTGGGTGCGGTGGATCGGTCTCGCTAATATTTTGTCCTGACATGACACCCTTCTCCTCCAATGCCCCTGGTCCTGGTGGTCCTGGCTCCGGCTTGCCCCTTCCTCTTGGTTGGGGAGGATTTTGCTGTGCTCTATTTTTATTTATTTATTGGTACTGGGGATGGACTCGAGACCTTGCACTTGGTGACTTCTAGACATTTCCCTCTACTTCTTGAGGCTTATTGTTCCATTTAACCACCCTGGAAGAGTCCACCCTGGCGTCTGTGTGTAGATTTGGCTCAGTTGGTAGCTACATTTCTGTGCTCACTAGTACCCACCATGGGGAGGCTGAGGCAGGAGGATCTTGAGTTTGAGCTCAGCCTGAGCAACTTGGCAAGAACTTGTCTGAAAATAAAAATAAAATAAAAATTTAAGAGGTAGGTGACATATCCCGAGACAGCGCTGGCCCAGCGTGTGGTGGTCCCAGGTATCACATGGCCCCCGGTAGCTTCCCGACTGACCACCTCTATCCACTCAGCGCTCAGAGGGTGAGCCCTGGCAGCTGCTGGCCCCACATACCTTTGCCCTCTGTTCGCCGGCACCTCTGAAATCTACCCAGATTCCCGCCCCACTCCCTGTGCCTTCCTTCCACACTTGCACGCAGACCGCCTGCTCGGTTGCACCTTCTTTTGCACACATCTCCTGCGAGCAGGTGGCGTTCACCCCGCCCTGCCCCGGGGCGATGTCTTTTGCATTGCTGTGACTCTTACGTGACGTCGTGTGCATGCAGTGTCCCCGCAGATGGCACAGCCTGTGCAAACGATCTGCGCTGTGAGTGATTGTGAGCAGTCTGACATACAAGACTCCATCTGTAACTCACGACAAGAGAAATACGCGAACAGTTTTGTGAAGTATTATTCCAGAGAGTTATCACTACAGGCTACTAGTAAAATGCTTCCTCTTTGGGCAGTACTGGTTATGTGCATTGCTGTAGATCCGCTCAGAGCAGGGCTACGCAGCTCTCTGCAGCAAGGATGTTGAGCGCAATATGCTTGTTTATTCGGGGGTAAAGGGTGGCACTATGTAGCCCAGGCTGGCCTTGAACTCTCCAGGATCCTCCTGCCTCAGCCTCCCAAGTGCTGGGATTACAGGGGCGCACCACCATGCCTGGTTTAAAATACTTATAATAGGAATGTAGAGAATAAAAATATAGAATTGAATCAGTGGTACAGATTAATTTACCTGTCCTGTGTGTGTGTAGGACTGAGGCCTTCATGTTTATTAATGTGTTGCAGCGCTTAACGCGTGAGGTGGAGTTGGCGCATGCGCATAACACACCTCAGCGCTTCCCACGCCCCTCTCCGCTCCTGTCCTCCTCTGGGTCCTCTTCCCTGTTGCAAAGGTTTTACCTCCCTGCTTCCTGTTACCTGTCTTTTATTTTGCCCTTGAATTTATTCGTATTTCGGGGTTCTCCAGGAAGCGCAACCATGCGATGCTCTCGCCGCGTGTCCGATTTCTTGCCCTGACCTGATGGTCTCAGGAGCCCGCAGATGCAGCCCGTGGCTCGGGGTCCCGTGGGCCGTGGCTCTGAGGGGACGGCGCGAGTCTGTCCTGGCCGCCGCTCCACCTCTCCACCGCAAAGCCCCCAGTAGCGCTGTGAAGACACTGCTGCCGGCTCCGTGTGGGCTGAGCCCTGCGGGGCTGCCCGGTGGCCGGCTCCCGAGGGACGCCGAGGCCGCTGGCCCCAGACCCACGCCCAGACCCCACGCTCTCCCCAGGCTGAGCGCTGCCCACACCCCGTCTCTCAGCCGCGGAGCCCGGCTCGCAGGGCCGCGCCCAGCTGTACCTGCGGGTCCCCCGAGCGCCCCAGGACGCCGCCGGCCAGCTGCAGCCCCACCGCGTTCAGCATCTTCTGCAGGTCGGAGGGAGGCTCCGGGTCGAGGCCCGCCAGAGCTGTGCTGGGAGAGGGAGACGGCGCTGTCCTGGGAGATCTGAGTGCACTCGCCGGGCAGGCTGAGGCAGGAAGATTTCCACCCAGAAGGCCTTGGGACCACAACTGAGTGTTGAAAAACTGGGGCGAACGGGGTCCCTTCCTTTCCCGCCCTGGGTCAGATGGGAGGGAGAGAAGGGCAGCTCCTCTGGACCTCGGGGACCTCGCTTGGGGAAGTGCTGGAGACCCAGTGCTTCCCCGAGCGCAGGCAGGATGCTGAGACAGTGCGATTCCGGGAACCTTCCCTGGCCTCTCGCTGTGGGCACCGCCAGCCCTAACCCCTGCCCCACCCTTGCCGCTTCTCTGAAGCCTGCAGGTCTGGGTCCTGGCCCCCCATCACGACCTGGTCCCAGTGACCTTGGTTCTGGACAGCGTGCCCTCCCCTCCCCTCTGCTGCCCCTCTCGGCTGCACCAGAAGCCGAGATGCAGCTCCTGGGCCTTGCTGGTCTGACCCATGGAACTCAGAGATTTCCAGGACCAGGAGAGCTAGCTGGCCCCGAGTGAGGAATCTGCTTTCTGTGGGAAGCCCTTGCACGGGTGGACAGGAGAGCCCCGTAGGGCAGGGAGGCCCCTGGTGAATTACGCAGCAGAGGCCCAGGCCTTGTCACGATTCACCCTGAGGCTGCTGCAGGGGTGCTCCTGGGTGCCTTGCAGGCGACGGATGCACCTGCGCTGATCTGTGATGCCGTCCACTACGGCTCAGCTCTCCTGTCTTGGCTCCTCCTAGGATTTCCAGTATGAATGTAGTTAGCAGGTAGGAAATGCCTCCAGACACACCCTGTACCGCGGGAGAGACACCCACTACTATTCAGCCCTGCCTGCTGGAGATCCCTTGGACGATTACAAAGGTCAGTTACTGGGAGAATCGGGGTGATTGGTGGTGCCTGTGGATGGTCACAGACCTCTCCTGGCTTCCACAAGCTAAAAGTTCTTAAAATGATGTGTCTAAACCAGGTGTAGCAGTGCTGGCGCTGTAGCCCCAATACTTGGAAGGCGGGGGGCAGGGTGATTACTGTGAGTTTAGGATCAGCCTGGGCTACATAGAGAGATGAAGACCAGCCCGAACAACCCCCTCCCCCCAAAAAAATCCCAAACAGAAAAAAAACCCCACTATTTACCTAGAAGTTAAGATTATTTAATCACCTTCATACGTTTAATGCTTTTTAGTTTAGGTCAATAATCTACCTTTCACACAGAAAGGACATTAGTGGGCCAGAGACATAGCTCAGCGGCTTAAGTGCCTGCTTGGCAAGCGCAAGATCTCAAATTCTATCGTAGTAAGAAAGGACATTAAGAATAGCTCTATAAACTGGCTTTTTTTTTTT